ACAGCAGGTCGATTACAGAAGGACAGCGGATGGCTAGTCTATTTTTACCATGGTACGGTATTTATGTTTCTCAGCAGGAAATTGTGGCGTTGTCCAAAGTAGTGGAAAATCACTTAAATGCATCTAACACAGCCATGTTAGCCGAACATAAGGAATTACAGGAGGTTAGGACTGTAGCATTACAAAATCGTATGGCACTGGATCTTTTATTAGCCGCCCAGGGGGGCACATGCAAGGTGATTGGATCTGAGTGTTGTTCTTCATCTCTGATGCTACACCTGAGGTCATGGATATGGCTCATGATACCGCCAGGGGGATAAAAGAGTTGCATGAAACTCATGGGTTTACCCTTGGGGATTTAACTGGAACTTTTGGATCGTGGGGTGCGGGGTTGGTTAAATTTGCAGTGACCGTTTCAATGTTTATCTTAGTTGTGCTAATTGTGATAATCTGCTTGGTCACTGTAGTTAAACTAGCCATACGAAAGATGACCAAAACCGCCCTCCAGGCTCCACAGAGACTAGTGGATATTCCACAGTGGATGACTCCGTGTTGATGTACGACGCCCAGCTTCAGATCCGTGGGGCACAATCACGGCTTCTGCTCCATGGGGACCCCCACAAAATGAATGACAAGTTGATTAAAATTGACACTCAGAATGTAGAAGATGTATATAGATTTTACCTTTTCGGGTTTTTACACTACGCAATAAATGTCTGATTCTTCTTTTTCAGATTTTTAAACAATGTATTTGACTAAAATGAATGTATAGATAAGTGCCCTTACTTTTGACTAAGCGTAGTGAAGTAATGTTAAAGCTTGAGGACACTGCAATTTTGCAGATTACGGATTAATCGAATCACCACTGTGAATGCTATACTTTGAACTGTGAATTTCAACTGGACCTTTACAATCCAGATTTTATACCTCAGGTGGATTCTAATAATCCTAAATGTTAAATGTGTTTTTACTATAATTGTCTTGAAGCAAATCTTTGAGATGCAAGCTATTTTAAAAGTTGGTAATTTGATGATTAAGGAGGACTAAATGATAAATGATAAAAGAGGTTATTTGGAAACATATATTTTACTATTTTCTTCTATATATTTTTTGGTATGTTTATTTTTGTGCTATTGATGGACGATTTGTCTAAACACTGAGGATATATTTTGGTATTTCTACACGGTCATATGAAGTTGATATGTGGAGCCATTCCTGAATGTTTAAATAGTCTGAATCCCAGGTTATAATGTGAGTGTCTTGAAATAGTTGATCTCTTAAAATGAGACCAAAAGGGGGATTTGTAAAGTTATATTTGTATTTATTCATGTTAGCAAACTATGGATAAGCTTAAAAAGGGAATAATTTGGGTGGAACTGTGAGCTGGATGTGGGGCCTGTTTGACATATGTTTTTGAGGACAAAGGAAGATGGGGGAAGGTGAGAGCATGTCTTGAGTTGCCTTCAGTTTAGACCTAGCTACAGTGATTGGGGAAGCCTAAGGTCTAAGGGGTCTGTGATATTTGGGGCGGCCAATCAATGATGTCCGAATGGGAGGATCTGATAACTCCTCCCATTGTCACAGAGTAGAAACACAGAAACACAGGCGGTGTTCAGCCTCTTTCCTCTGGCTGGCTCACGTGCAGGTAAATTCGGGATCCCAAAGATTAACTGTATTGAATTTGTACTGTATTGATTGTATTATTTTGTCATATTACCATTAAAGTAGATATTGTTTACTTGGTGGCACTGGATTTCTTCCTGTATTATAACCAGCTTCATAGGAACGCGCGGAGATTTGAAAAGCGGATCAGATATCCCTTTTAATCTCTAACAGTATGAAAGGAGAAAGAATGGTTTAAACCTATGTTGGTCACTGAGTGGTTTATTTTAGCTTGAAAAAGTAGAGGAAGTGGCAACTGAAACCAAAAGTCTGGCTCTTGAAACACACATAGTTCATCAATTCTACTTCGATTTTTATTTTAGGTTTTTCAAAAGTATCCCCCTGGGAGTCAGCTAAATACTGAAAAATAACAATGGACATTCAAACAGAAAAAGTATACCCTCTCTGGCAGAGTATTCGTCGTCCTCTATAACTCTTGCCAGTCCAAAGTCAGCGATTTTGCAGAGCAGACTCTCTGACACCAGGACATTGGCTGCTCTCAGGTCTCTGTGGATATATTTCTTATCCTCTATATACGCCATGCCCTCTGACAGATCACTGCGGTCAAACCTCCACCTTCAGCCACCTGAAGAAGACCACTCCCCCTGAAGATCCCCACAGAAAGCTGTGGCCAAACCTCCACCTACAGCCTCTATAAGGAAACCTGCACAGATGTTATCCTACTGCCATGTGGAGACCTGAGTGGAACAGCAAGGACCAGAGAAACACATGCAGATATAGTCCTTCAGTTAATATGCAAACATATTTCTGTGTTATTAAAGCTGGCTCTCTGTTTACATTCAGTTCACTTGTTCTTCTTCTCACAGGTGTTTTCAAACGTTGTGAAAGACTGAGCTCACACTCCTCAACATGAACCTGACTGACTGTGATGATGCCTTCATGAAACGAGAGAGCTCCACTGTACGTACAGTATAGCAGTATGAGATTTCTTAACAACACTCTGAGTGTATTGGGATTTTTAATGGAAGTTCGGTGATGAATTATATTTGAATGCAACACCTTACACTTCCAGATCTACCAGGAGCTGCTTCAGGGCCCTGAGGACAACTCCTTTTACAACAGCTCTGTTCCAGAGATGCTTCCTCCTCCTCCACATCCTCCACCTTCACCACCCCTCCTGCTCATCGCCAGAACTAAGAGTGCCCCACCCCATCTCAGCAACCACCACCAGTTTCTCCTGCAGCCACCGCCTAAGAGGAAGAGACATAAAGAAAAAAGGAAAGGTAAAGGCGAGGCAGCGGAAGACGGTGCCCCTCAACACAAAATCCCCCACATGTCGGTGGATCTGCAAGAAACGCCAGATGAGAAGCAAGGGGCCGAGTCATCCTCAGAAAAAGGGTCTCTAATGGACACCCAACAGAATGAACGAGAGAAAACAGACATCGAGGGGAACAGAGTGAGCCAAGACAACACACTTGAAATAACACCCACTACTGATGACAACGCAAAAACCAACACAAATGGTGGTGAAGAAAGCAGAACAAAAGATGGAGGAAGTGAAAAATTAAGCGAGAAATCGTCCAAGACTGAGCAGAAGAAGAACGCCGACTCAGGATCGCACCGTGCCGGGTTCGACGCCTTTATGACGGGATACATTTTTGCCCATTCATGTACCCTGAACAAGAAGAAAGGAGTGGAAGCTGTAGGGAAGGAGGAGGAAGAGGAGTCCTGGGTTCCTTCGTGTCTCAATAAGGTCTACCTCAGCGGTAAATCTGCTCCTCTCAACGTGGTTAAAAGCACCTTCTCCAAATCATCCAAGGCCCATGTGGCGAAGATGGAGATGGTTTGGGGAAAGAAAGTGTAGTGTCCACACTTGAACACAGTATTTAAGTGTTTATATTAGGGCTGCAACTAATTATTATTTTAATTAGTATTCTGCAGATTACTTTTACGATAAACTGTTTGTTCAATAAATTGTCCAAAAATAATAAAAAAGGAACAACCTCAAAAGACTCAAAGTCCAAGTGATTCAATGTTTTGTTGAGTCCAAACCTATGGTCCAAACCCAAAGATGTTGGACTTTAATATAATATTTAACAGAGAAAAGCCAAGATCTAAAAACTGCATTTTCTGGCATTTTTTCCATGGATAATTACTTAAAGGATACATCAATAATCAAAGAAGTTGGTATTTTTTCTCTGGATGCACCTATTGATTGGTCAATTACTAGTTACAACTCCAATGTACATGTGCAGGTTCAATATCAATAATTGTTTAGGCCGGCCAACAGTTTGGCTCAACTATTTGATGGACAGTGCTGAACCCCAGAGGGATGGGTAGATCCCCTTCCTCTGTCACTATGAGGTTGACCATTTCTGTTTTTAGTGACACATTTTGACAATTATTGAATAGATTGGCTTGGAATTTGGTCCATGCCCCCCCCCTCCCTCAGGATGGATGGATTTAAAAGAGTAATCCCTAACTAGGGAACCAGGATTTTGTGTTGATTTTTATTTGCCATGTTTTAAGAATGATGGAATAGGGGGTCAGTTTGCTTGTGGAACAACCTTTCAGTCTGGCAGTGTTGAAATGTAAGTCTGTTTCTCATGCTCTATACTGTTTTATTTGTTTGTAAGACTTTTGTACATTTGTACCTACTATTAATAGTATTAAAGACGGTAATAAAGTGCAATTCGGTGGCAGCTGTTTTGATCAAGCCAGGTATTGTTTCTTAAGTTTCTCTGGAAAGAGCCAATTCTTGATTTGCATTCATTCTTCATTTTTAGATGTTTGTATAATTACCTTTTACAGGAGTTACCTTTTGAAAAAAATAAATGTATGCTCTTTAAAATGATCATTGTCTTTATTTCATTATTTACTTAGTGGTTTTATCTTGAAGGATGATTAAAAACAAAAATGCCATAATATAACCCCTTGCTATAACCAGCACATCATTTTTGTAATCGACTGTCCATGGAAGTAATAGTTAATATATCAGCAGTGTGGCACCATTGTACCACACTCACAAGTTGACATCCCCATTTTAAATACGTTTTTAAAACGTTTTTGTTGTAGATACATTCATTTGTATTGTGAACTACAAGATTGATAATCATTTTATTTTTAAATGTTTGCAAACTGACTACAGTGAAAGTTGGTGTATAGCTCCTACACAGGATAAACCATTTGGTCTTTAGTAACTCAGCCTGTCCTCTGGCGCCACCCTCTGGACAAACATTTTTCTTGTTTCTGTTTGTGTGATGGAGAAGGAATTACATTTGTTTGTTGTTACAAATACTTTCAGTTGAAACAGATTCCTGGTGACAACATTGTTTGGAAGTAGTTCAGCTTGAACACATCACTGAGGGTAAAGTATGTCACAGAACACAGGATTATTTAATAGAGGTGTTTTCATTGAATTCAATATCAAAGCAATCACGTGTATATAATGGGGTGCTAGGTGTTGACCGCTGTGGATCACACTGGTTGTGTTGTTCTTGTTGTCTCCTGTCCCACTTCAGGAAGGCCATACACCCAGGAAGAGCCCTGCCCTGTGATATCAAAAAAAGGCAATGTACAGAGATTAAATTAGTGTAAATCTTCACATGAAACTTTTGTCAACAAAACAATCATGAAAGAGACAAACTCTGTCTTTAATGTTTCTACTTAACAAAACACAGGTCCTTGTGTCCAGTTGCCACAGTATGGTTCACTCAGAGGAACATATAAACAAAGTCTAGTTTATATTTTACATGATGATTGCAATGAAATCACAGCAACGTAAGCATTTATATATTTATAGTTAAACACGTTTTATATCAGACACTGGAAGCATTCAGATCTGTAAATTCATATGAAGACATGGACTTCATCTCAGGCTGATTGTACTTTACATTTGAGATCAGATGTTTCATTAGCTCAACTTGCTGTATTTGAGTAATGATCAGACCAACAACAACATCAACAGGTACGTAGGCCAACCACTAATAGTTCAATAACAAGGTGTTTTCATAATTTATTTCCATAGAGGTTTCGTCTTTAGGTTAAAGATAACGATAAACCATGTATTGATATTTGTCTCTGCTGCACATTGTGATTTATCTCTAAGCTAGCAACTGAAAGCTGCGTGTTATACATTTCCAGTTTATACCAGTTATATATCTACAGATTCAATATTTATGTTTACAAAATGGACGTAGAGGATTCCATGGTTGCTATGGTTTGACGCAGGACTAGCGTCAATATCGATCAATATTTAAACCATAACAACCTGAAAAACTACCTGAAGACGGTCACGAAAATATTTCCTCCGCGTGCACTCGACGATTCTGCCAAATTATCGCTTCTTCTCAAGTCTTTTTACATCCCGACAAGAGTCAGAGAACCCCTGAGAGTTATTACAGCGAGAAAACACACTTTAATTATGGAAAATGTAAGATTTCATAACGTTGAAAGTCCCCGTTGTTTCCAATGTGCTTTGCCGTCGACATTTTCAGAAACCTCACAGTTTACTGATGTTTATCAAATCATTTAGTCTCCTGTAACGATAAGTAGGCCTACCATTAAACAGTGTAACTATCAGATTAAGGTCAAGTATACTGTGACGACTCAATTAATACATCTTTGCATTAAAAACTACCAAAAATACACATGCATTCATCAAAACTAGGCTATATGACAATATTAACAAATAAATGTTGTATCTAATACAAATCATTTATATTAACTTTTTAAGGCTATATCACCCAGCTTCAAGCTGAATACATTCATATTGTAACTTTGAATCAAGCTAATTAAAGTCACTCACTTTAACTTAGCATTATTTCCATCATATACATGTGCAATATTATATGTTCAAACAATAACAGACATATGCTTATTATATAACATTGTAATCACGTCACATATGTGTCACTAAAGCACAATATTAACTGACATGAGGCGGGTCTGGCTTTGTTACCTGACCTGTCTCGTCTTGAGGAGGTTTCAGACTTTGATTACATGTTTCATATTCCTTCATTTATGATTTTATCCAACAACCACATCCATCTTTGGCAAGTTAATCTTCCAGCACATAAAACTATAACACATTTGATTTGTATACTACGACATGACAACATACTTGAAAAAGGTCCATCCTGCATGTACTTGTAGACTCTAGAGCCTCATCCTAACATGAGTGTGTGTTGTTGCAGGGTCGAGTGCCCGTCCTCCCGCAGGACAACCAGACAGGAAGGAGAGTCTCTGCCCGCCAGAGGAGGCCTGCAGTCTGCAGACAGTGTCCCTGCTGCAGGGACGACCAGGTGAGACATCTGATCCTCAACTCTGTTCCTTGAAATTGTACACAGTTTAATCCACAAGATTGTGTTGACAGGTTTACAAAAAGGGTAAACACATAGTGGAGTATATTGTCAATACTAATAGTTTGAGAAGGTCCATTGTACAGGACTAATGCCCCAAATACTCACATTTCAAGTAATCCTCTGTATCTGATGTAAATGTTTCCTCTTGTAAAATTATAAAAGTATGTTGTTAAGTAAGACGTTTCCTAGTCTGACATCCTCTTGTGTTTTTCTGACCCTCTCCAGGTGCCCATTACAAAGCGCCGGCTCCCTGCTGCTTCTGCACACCTTCCCCAGAAAAGGAAGCAGACCTCCGTGGCTCGTCCTTCTAAACCTGCTGACCTGCCACCTGTCTCTAACGTGGCTCCCAGCCCCCAGACCTCCACTGCTCCCATGCACCCTCGAAGACCCTATCAGGATCCACAACCGCTCAGTCGAGGAGTACCAGCTCATCTACCATGAAGTTGTGGATAACATGCTGAGGTACGTTGCGTCACAAATGAGTCAGTTCATTTGCAGACTTTGCAATCTCTTCGAAATCTATCTCTCTGTTTTCCTTCAACATAAAGATATATTTTGTGTTTCTCCTCTCAGGTTCCCGGACGGGTCGCCTGCGTCCATATAGTTTGGGGTCTGGGGCGTCCTATTAAGCAAAAGCTGTGGGAGCAACTGGACCGTCCGATGGACACAGAGACAGTTGATGAAGACGGTCTGGTCCATGTGGACGTGTCCTACGGTGCTGGAGTCCAGCCTCCGCTCTACAACGTGGATGTTTCTGGTGAACCAGAGCCCGAATATCCACCAGAAAAAAGGGCAAAGCACTAAGACACACTCTCATAAGCTGACATGTCTAATAATACTGTGCTTTAAGTTTAGTTTAGTTTTTTTTAAAGTATGGCAGATAAGTTTAAGTTTATTAAGTGTAGAGATACGTTTTTTAGTGCCAAGCATAAGTATTATGTGCTAAGTCTTTAGTTTTAAGTATTTAGTAATAAGTATAAGTCTAAAGTGTTAAGAGTAAGTGTTTAGTTTAAGTTTTTAGTTATAGTCATTTGTTTGAAGTATTTCATATTAAGTGTTACGTTTTTAGTGCCAAGCACAAGTATTAAGTGTCAAGTCTTTCATTTTAAGTATTTAGTAATAAGTATAAAGTGTTAAGAGTAAGTGTTTAGTTAAGTTTTCTGTTTAAGTACTAAGTTGAAGTATTAAGTATTTAGTGTTAAGAGTAAGTATTTAGTAGTAAGTATAAGTATTTAGTGTTTAGTTTAAGTATTTAGTAATAAGTTTAAGTATTTAGTATTAAGAATAAGTATTTAGTGTTAAGAGTTAGTATTTAGTTGAGTTAAGTTTACTTTCATTGATCTTAATGTATCTCACCACTGATGAATTGTCTTCCTCTGAATCAGTTCCTGCTCCTCTGTTAA